CTCGCCGAGCCCGGCCGCCGCTCCCCCGCTGCACGGCTCCACGCGCCCCGGGAGGCGGCCCCAGAGCAGCCGCACGACCGCGGGCTCCGCTCGCCCCTCCCCCGGCCGCGCTGACACCCAACCACCTGTGAGAGAGACCCCACTCCACTTGCTTCAACCGCCGGTTGGGTGGGCACCGGCCGGAGGCCCGCGTGGGAAACACTTTTAGCGGCCCGACACTCACGCTGTCCGAAGCTTCCGCTCCCCCGGCAACGGCGGCGCTAAAGCTGGAGCCGAAGCGCAGCGTCCGAGGGCGCGTCCCCAGCTCCAAATCCGGCCGAGGCGGCTAACGCACAACCATAACAAAGCTCTTCCCAAAATGGCTGCCCGGCCCACACGGCCCAGGCGGGGCAGAGCGGGCGGAGGGGAAGGATCAACGACCGGCACGGCCCTCCCCCTCCCTCTGCCCCGCCCCCAGCGGACCCCGCCTCACACACGCCCAACCGCTCGCACCGCCCGCAGGGCCGCACGCGCACGCGCACGCGCACGCGCACGGCCCTGCTCCGGCGGCTTCCTCCTGTCCCGAGGCGCCGCAGGCTCCGCGCGCGCGCTGCCAGCCAACATTCGGCCTCTAGGAAAAGTGGTCGCCCCTGGCTTTGGCCCCAATCTCGCCTCTGCACGGCACCAGACGGCGCGTGTCGCCCTAACCACCTACGCAGAGTCGAATACTGGCATTCCTCGCGCGGGCTTTGAGGCGAAGCTCAGCCCGGGTTGGCTCCTCTGTCGTCAACCCCCTTCCCAGCGGCAGGGCCCGCGCGTGTGGATGGGTGGGCGTGCTTCAGTGTGTACATTCATTCATCCCGCCTCTTCTTTCTACGCCGTCCTTCATCTCGCCTGCATGCAAGCCCGCGTCCCCAAACTACCTCCAGTAGCAAACCGGTTTCTGAGAAGTTTCCCGACCCGTCCACCTAACGTTCCCTCCTTCACGTGCGCGTGCCGCTGACACGCCACCCCCTAGCGGGCCGCCCGCCCGGCGCGAAGATGGGCGCAGCGCTGCAGTGCGCGCTTCCCGCTGGGAGTGGTAGTTCGGCTGGGTGGCGGGAGGCGCCTTGGCAGGACCCGGCGCAGGAGGGACTTCAGGCTGGTGCAACTGACCATGCCCCGGCGAAAACACTGCTTCACCCACGCAGTCTCCATGGGTGGGGCTCACGGGAAGGTGTGGTTTTACCTTGACAGGCTGATAAGGAAATTAAAGTGGATGCGAAGAACAGCAAATGACCGCAGGCAACCAGGAAGCTAAACTACCTCGAATCTGGAGGAATGGAAGAACCAACCGAAGTGGACCCCTGAGATGTATTGCCTGCCAGCATCTTTATCTTAAATGCAAGAATTGCTGGTGCCATTTCCTTCTATATAATGAGATAGAGACCCAGAGAAGGAAAGAAATTTGCCCAAAGTGACGCGAGAAGAAGTAAACCAAAGGTAAAGCCAAGGATGACGGGAGGAATGACCTAATTTACCGGGTCGCTACCTTCTTTCACGTAAAAGGGAAAATCCTATCCCTTGTGCTTAATGAAGTTTTCTTCGTCCCAACAAAAAGAATGAAAGTAGAAAAAGCTTTTCCTTAAATTATAGTAATTAAGGACCTTAATGCGTAGTTAGATAAGCTCCGTCGACCCTAGAGACCCGGTTATTTTTGCAAATACAAAATTCATAAGCTAAGTTACACTTGTTCTGTATTCTTACCTTCCTGCACCACTATCACTCTGAGGCGGCTTCGACAGCTGCTCTGTATCTTTCCGAATTCTGTCGGGCAGATTCTGCTGGCGAGGAACATTGGAATAGAGAGGCAAGGACAGTTCGAGTACCCTGCAGTTCTTCACAGTCGGCTTCCACTAGAATTACGTTTTTGTTTGGGGATTCCCAAATGGATACTTGAGCTTAGGAACTAATTAGCGCAAGTCAAGTTCCCATCCGGACAAATGTTTTCGGTGCCTCAGGAAGTGGGGGTGGTTTAATACCAATCACCGGAAGTGCTCTTTTCCTAGCTTGGGCGGTTCTGGAACTTTGCTTTTCCATCTTCTGGCTCGACGCTGGCAAGGACGTTTTGGCTGCCGCCACGAGGAGAATGAAGAAAGGAGGGCATCAAGACTCGGTAGGAAATAAGAGCCGGGGGTGCCTTTGGGCAAGGTTTCTAGATGATCAAGTTCAAACTCTCCTCCCCGCGTTTCTCGGATGTCAGTTGAGGCTGATCTTTTGCAATATTTTCCACCGTAATAATGGAAATATTTAGCTTTTACCCATAAATTGACTCTCTGTTTAATCCCCACACTGAGGATTGTAGACAATCACGTTTTCGCTGTAGTACTCTGTTCAGTTGGGAAGTACTGTGCCAAAATGGATAGGAAGTTCCAAAAGAGGGAGAAGGTTGAGATTTTAAAGTTTTTGGGAAGTCTTCACCAAGAAAGCGATTTTGAGTAAAAGGGAGTGTGTAGAATTTGTTAGTCAAGAGATTGGTGTCGGTGTACTCTAAGCTTTACTCAGAGGCCAGAGAAAACGTGTTGCTTTCTTACTAAAAATGAAGACCTTGACTGCTAAACATGATTTCTCCACCCAGGCCTTGAATCTATGATCTAGAAACTAGTTCGATGGATTTATGTTAATTAAAATGGATGTTGTTTTAGACACCTCGTTCTCTTGGTTAATAGACTTACATCAGATAAGGTTCATATTCCCAGCCACTTGCTTCTTACATTAGACAGTTCTTAGCCATTTCCTCTGGTGTAAAATGAAAACAACTGACATTTCTTGACCTTTTTGTGTGTCAGGGACAGTTCTCACATGCTTATATATGTCATCTCATTTCAGGACCCAATGAGGATTATCCCTATTTCAAAGTTGAGTGAACTGAACCATAGCTAAGTAACTGAGCCAAAGTCACACAGCTAATAAGTGTTGGAGCAAGGATTATTTTACTTGAAAACCTGCGCTTTTAGTCTATACTGTTAGTACCAACTTGAAGTTATGGTGAGCACAGAACTGAATTAATGCATATAAAACACTTATCGTGCCTGGTTGCTAGCTAAATTGTATTGATAACCTATCATCATTTTAAGTTGTTTGAAGTCCTAAACCTAACATAAATAAGATGGAAAACAGAACAGAGAAGCTAGGACATTTAATTTTAGATGAGAAAACTGGCACCTAAGGAAGCAGTTTGTCCAAAGTCACACTAGAAATGATAGAGCTCTCTGTAAAATCTAGATCTCTGTATTGCTCTTCTATACCCAACATTAAAGATAAATAAACAGCTCAAGGGAGAAAAGGACATATTTTCTTTCTTTGCTATTCTTTGATAACATGATCTCTTCAAAGAAATCTGCCAAGTGGAAGGTATTTTTCCTAAGTTTCTACATTTGAAAAAGTAGGTTAAATGAATACAATTAAATGACATCTTGCTTTCTACATAGCAACATGCTTCTGATTCAGTTCTTCTTCTACTTAGCTTTAAGGACATGTTAATCAGAATTGCCTGGCATCTTCCTGAGTAAGACTTTCAATAGGACTCAGTATGTTCCACTTCATCCAGAAATGTTCTCAAGCATCTTCAAAGGTTGGTTATTTAGCTAACGGTGTGAGGGCAAAAGCAATGAAAAAAAAGGGGTTGGGGTGGGGAGTCCTTGTCCTTATGTATTGACATTGAGGGAGGAGCAAATAATGAAATAGTAGGCTGAGTGGTAAGTGCTATAGAGAACTAACTATAAAGCTGGGAAAGGGCAGTGGAGTAACAAGAATAAGCATAAGTACTCAATTTTAAAGAGAAGTCAAGTCTCAATACTACCTGGGAAAACCCTGAGAACATGATGAATGAAATCAGTCACACAAAGACTAATATTGTATGATCCTACTTACATGAAATATCTAGAATAGGCAAATATATAAAGACTAATACTTATCTGTGGTTACTGAGGTGGGAGGAAAGAGGAAGGTGGAGTTATTATTTAGGGGGCACCAGGTTTCTTCTAATGGTGATAAAATAATTGGATATGGATAATAGTAATGATTGTACAACATGATGAACGTAATCAGTGTCATTTAATTGTACAAATAAAAAACATCGAATTGGCTAGAGTTTTGTAATACGTATTTTACCAAACAAAAAAATAGGTATACAATTTTACTTAAAAGATAATCAGAAATGTGGGAGTGGATCTTGTTGGTAGCTGAAGGAAAAGCATCCCAGACAAGGAAAAGAGTGTCATTCTTATTATTTAAAGAATCACCAAGATTTATAAATAGCAATTTCATTATAATTTTCATCCAACACTTTTAAAGCTACTCCTTCTGTTTACTAAATTAAGTGTACTGCTCACTAAAACACAGAATCAGGAGAGATTACTTTACCATGTATCGTGAAAGGCACTGGGGATTTTCTTTTAAAAGGGAAAGCAATTATGGTCCTGGCTGTCAAGTCTATTGACAGACAAGTAAACATGGCATTTTAATTCACTGTGTACATTGATGGTAATGTGTGAAGGGTGCTTACATAGTTCATGTGGAGAAAAACATGTAAAACCGCCCCCTATAGATTATAAATCCAGTGCTTACCTTCTTTATTGGGTAGTATTACAATGCTAAAATGATAGTTTGCTTTTCTCTACATAAAATAACATTCCCGCAATAATGTTCTTTTCTCACAAAAATAGAAGAGCCAGTATAGAAAGCAAGATACCAAAGGCCCTTTTCTGTTCCTTTTTTTAGGTATTCCTCTTATGGAATAAGATTAGTGGTAGAGTGAGCATGTCACTGGTTTCTATTAAGTAGTGTCTTTCACATGTTATGTATCTGGTTACTAGTCTTATCAATAGTTCAAGCATTCTGTAAAAGTTTGCTGTGCTGATGGAATGCAGATGGTTTTTATATTGTTTCAGATGAGGTTAACCAATAAATCTGTTGGGTTGTTTTTTATATATATGTCTTTTGGTTGTATTTTCCTTATAGATGCTGAGGTACCCTTTCTCGGGATTAGGAGCCAGCAGGAAAACAGATCAACTTTTTCTCAAGACCTTGCTCCAAAAGAACTATTTCCCTTTGTATCCAAGGGCATGGCACTTGTCATCATTTCCAGTGTGTGAGAGCAGGACACGGTGTTATCACACTTCCCCCTGCTGTTTTAAGAAGAAACAGAAGCAAGCAGAACTTACAACCAGGTCACCAAGCACCATCACTTACCTGTCTCACAGTCCAAAGCCGGCCCTATTCTTAACTTTAGCAGGATTGGTCCCCTTTGTTGCTCCACCACTGATCATGGTGATGACAAAGGCTTATATCCCCATATTAGCTTTTACTCAGGTGGCTTATGGAGCTAGTTTCCTATCTTTTTTAGGAGGGATCAGATGGGGTTTTGCTCTGCCAGAAAGTAGTCCAGCAAAACCAGACTACCGTAATTTAACTAATAGTATAGTTCCTGTTGTTTTTTCATGGTTTGCCTTCCTTATTTCTGAAGGACTTAATGAAGCTATAGTTACCCTAATAATAGGTTTAGGGATCACTTTACACTCTGAACTTTTTCTGTTGCCACATTATCCCAATTGGTTCAAAGCCCTAAGGATAGTAGTCACTTTCGTGGCCTTTTTTTCATTTGTAATCACTTTATTACTTAAAGATACTTATCCAAAGAAAGGACTCCAGAAACCTGATCAAGTAGAATGAACATAAAACTACTCTGTATGTATCATTAGTGTGTTCACTATAAGCTTTGGATGGTTGCATTTTGACATCACCTTTCTGCTTGTTTGCTTCCAGCAATGGTAATTTTTCTTTCCCAGAAATTTAAACAAAAACATAAAAATCCCTCAACTCCTGTTTGTGTCACATTAAGTTATTCAATCTTTATTAAGTTGTATTGTCATACGTTTAGATATTTCAATGTTTTAATTGCCTTGAAATTGTGTATTTTTAAAAAGGCCCTCTTGCTAGACTGTATTATTAAAAAAAAAAAAAGAATCAGGTTCTCAGTTTAAAAGCAAAGCCACTTGAATCTACAAGTGTCTGAAAATAACAGGTGGTTTCAGTGATGTTTCACAGCAGTTGCCTCTGGGAATTGTATTTGCAAGTTTTTACCTAGTGTAACTTAGTTACATGAACGAAAGGATGTGCAGCTCTACTAAGGAGAAGTGTTGTGAAGGAGAGAGCCAAGTTCTAGGAAAAATAAAAAGCTGGACACGATGAAGTTTTTAAACCAAGTATTTAGTATGGTATAGAATCAGTGTATCCCCTATCACCAAATAGGTATAACACCAGTTGATCAAAATATTTTAAAAAATAAATTGGGGATAGACTTGATCTAAAGAACAGGCTCATCTGTTAACTCTGGCATTTAAAAATCCTCAATAGACACAACCTGTGCTCCAATGTGGAAATCGGTCTCGTAAAACTCCTAGTGTCACAAACGGAAAACATTTTAAATGAAGTAAGTATAGCAGTGAGGTAAATTATATAGTATGTGATATCTCTGTGTAATAAATTCAAATATTAGCTAAGTCAGATTCCCTAAGTAAATTTTATACATACTATACCTACTCTAGTGATCCTTGCTTTGAAGAGATTTATTAGGGATTAACTAAATTATTAACTGAAGAGCTCTGGTGGTGGAGTAGGGTTCCAACTGGGCTACTCTACACAAGGTCAGCAATTCAAAACCACTAGCTTTCTGTTCTCAAAGATTTTCAAGCAATTCTCTGTCCTGTAGGGTCACTATGACTCAGAATCAACTTGATGGCAGTGAATTGTATTTGAGAATATTAATTTGTATGTTTTCTTATAAACCATAGAGCTAGACCTAGTCTTATCATTGAGAAGCTTACCAGTTAAGGCCCAAGGCTGAAACCACTACAAAAGTCTTTTAGTTCTACAAGCTGATAAGGAAAGGGAACTCTTGTACCCTTTAGAAAACATTTCTCAGATGGTTTTGGTGAGGAAACGAATTTCTTTGCTAGATTGTAGGAGTATATCAGTTCAAACCCACTGGCCTCTCTAAGGGAAGAAGAGGAGACTATCTAATCCCATAAGATGTACAGTGTTGGAAGTCCTACATAGGTTAGTATCAGAGTCAATTTGATGGCAGTAGGTTGACTTTTATACACCTGGGAACTTCCTTTGATCTCAAAATACATTATATACCAAAATAGGGGTAATGTAGTATTTGTAGTCAAATTGCACAGTTACAGTTCAAAAGTGCTATAATTGAATTATAGGATATGTTTAAGAAAAAGTTTAAGTATATTTTACCAAAAAATTGACAGGATATTCCATTTTGAATTCAAGCTATTTTAGGTCACTTTAATAGTTAATGCTGAGAAAACATTAAAAGTGAAATTAAATGCGTCTCAAAATTACAACAAAACAAACTTTAAAAAAAAAAAACAACTTTAAAACCTGGGCAATCTTAAGATTTGGTGATTGAGGAGTACCAGTAATAGACTAAGGTAAATAATACAAAGTAAAGGGAAAAATCCAGTTGGTTTTATTAGTACATTTAACAAAAACAATCTGTTATTATCTAAGAAATAAGCATGTTTTCAAAAACCTGTTTTTTCAGGGACCTTCTGGACCTTTTAAGTCTTTGCCCTTGAATTAACCTGTATAATTTTGACATTTTTACATAGCAGTGCAAAATGCTTTCCTTCACAGTGCCACTTTAAGATGGTTCTGGGAAGTAATGAGAAAGTGTTGGAATATTTTATAACTCAGTTTTGGATCAGAGGGCAGATTCTTTGTAACTTAAAATATTAAAGGCACTTAAGTTAGAGCTTCAATAGCCTACAGATTATTCTAATATCGCAACCAAGCATCTGTGACCTTTCAGGATACCCCAGTGAAGGGACACAACTTTCTGCCTGCACTATGTAACCTTTCCCTAATACATGTATGTGATTATTGAAGAAAGTGTCCTTCTAGGCCAACCGAGATATGTTGGCTGTGCTATCTGTGGATTTAATGCAAACATCAAAAATAAGTTGCCTATAACAATATACTGAGGGGCCTTAGTCTAAAAAAAGGAAATAGGGTCATACAAAACAAATCTTTGAGTTAGATAGTCAAACCTAAATGTTTGCAATAATCTTTATATGGCTCCAACTGCCTAGTGAAAAAATAAAATTTTCATGAACATAATGATTCTTCCTTTCAGAATGGAACAGGGAACAATTATTTAGAAGGCTTCTCCAGGGAAATGGAGTTTCTAGAAATAGTTTTGGATCAAGGCCTTGCAACTTATGATTCACTACCTATAGCAAGTTTTACAGATACCTACAAATACTCTCTTCCAAGGCAGTGTAGGCAGTAGCTCTGTAATTAGTTTGTACTTTGGCTTGAGTACAAGTAACCTGCACAAAGCTTGATAACCTAATAAAATTTCCTTTTCCCAAAGCCAACCAAGATACTTTTGATGACTAAATAACAAGAAATTCCCTAGGTGCATAAAACCTTCTGCTGGACCCTACCACCCATTCGATAATTCTACTGCAATAAAGAACTGTCCAAAAAAAAAAACTGTCAGTAAGAATGTACTATTAATTCTTCACTGGCACTTATAGCAAACTTAAGCAAAAAATTTTATGTTAACAAGCAAATATCTACCGTTTCCCCGAAAGTAAGACCTACTTACAGTTTTGACTCTCCCTGAAATATAAGGCATCCCCCCGAAAATAAGCTAAACCACCGCCCCCCCCCCCCAGCCCAAGCAACCATAACTCTGGACTCTGAACCATAATCGGCAGGCACTGCCATGCAGCTCACTGTTGGCCGCAGCACAGCCGGAGCAGACAGGAAGTGCGAGGTCTTTTTTAATAAAACAATAAATGTGTACTGTATCCTTCTTCATGGAAAAATAAGACATCCCCTGAAAATAAGACCTAGTGCATCTGGGAGCAAAAATTAATGTAAGACACTGTCTTATTTTCAGGGAAACAGGGTAGCTATATCAGTTGTCGGAGGAGACATGGTAGCACGGTGGTTGATGTGCTCACCTGCTAACCAAAGGTCAGTGACCCAGACCCACCAGCTGCTTCATAGGAGCAAGGTGTGGCACTCTGCTAACAAAGATTTACAGCCTTGGAAACTGAGGCAACTGTACTCTGTCCTGTAGGGTCACTATGAGTCAAAATGAACTCAACAACAATGGTTTGGGGGCATATTAGGGGCTTCAAAATGTTTGTGGGGAAATTCCATTATTTTTACATTCTTTATCCCACAAATGTTTTGAAGTCTTCTCTTACAGATAATTCCTAACAAACTGCTCCTAGTATATCTTCTGCCAATAAAAAACAAGGTTAGTGAAAACTCTTGGCATCAAGTAAAAATAGGAAGCTGCTTCATTTGTTTTTCTCTATAGGTTAAACAATAGCCATGGGACATTGTGCTTTGCAGTCAATAGTGAATTATAAAGAACTTTAAACTGTCAGATTGATATTACTGTATCATATAAAGGTCATGTTAAAATTTGAATTGCAGTTTGCAAAAGTATTTTGGTTGGCTTTGGGAAGAGGAAAAATTGATTTTACAAATAGGATTATACCTTTAGTTTGATTATTTTATTTTAATAGAGCATAAACAGTATTTTGTTGGTAAGTATAGCAAATTTGTGTGAGCACTTTATTAACTTACAATATAGTTTATATATACCTTTCCAGATTTTTCCCAATTTTTCATTTATTTATTTTAAAAATAATATTGGGGGCTTGTACAACTCTTCTCACAATCCATACATCCATTGTGTCAAGCACATTTGTACATTTGTTGCCATCATTTTCAATACATTTTCTTTCTACTTGAGCCCTTGGTATCACCTTCTCGTTTTTCCCCCTTCCTCCCCCACCAACCCTTGATAATTTAGAAGTTATTATTATTTTTTCATGTCTTACACTAACTGATGTCTCCCTTCCCCCACTTTTCTCTAGTCCATCCCCCTGGGAGGGAGTTATAGGTATGGTAGATCATTGTGATTGGCTTCCCTTTTCTCCCCCCACCTTCCCCTTACCTTCTCCAAATTCTTATAAAAATCTCTGTAGTCATTTTTCAACCAAGTACATGGAAAACCCCGTTCAAAGGATCCTGTGACAAAATACACATTTGATTTGCCAAAGACCAGGTCTCATATTTTCAGAAAGTTGCTCGTGTCCTTGTAGGCCTTACATTTCATAGTACGGCAACACCCCCTTCACAACGACTAGTGATCATATTACCAATTTCAGTCCATGTGTCTGAATGAGGGTTGTAAACTTCAACTGAGTCCAAGGTTCCTGGAGCCAAGAAATCATGGCTGGAAGATCGTCCTCCAGAAACATACAGAAGCCCGTTGACAGCCACAACACACATTCCTGCTCTAGGTACCTTCATTGAGGCAACTTCAACCCACTTTTCCTGGTTAAAGGAGAAAATATATATACATATTAGAATCATAATTGGAATAGAGATAAATTGCTGAGAAGCCAGATAATCTTATTTTTGTATGTTTTAAATTTCAAATTTACAATCCAGTCATATTTAGAACATTCTTAAATGAACTTCCATGTGGAAAAGTAGTGAATTCAGAATAAAACAATTGAAAATCATACTGTGGCAGTTACATAATTGTGTCAATTTGAGAAGATTATGAGTGAAGAGGTGGAGTCTGACCTGTCAATCAAGATATAACCAATGAGCCCTGTGTGTGGGCATGGCCTTCTGAAAATTCTGGGAACACCTGTATTTCCTCCCTGCTCACTCCCTGAGAGACGTTCTACTGACAAGACATGATGCTACAAACACCCTGGGAGCTGGAGAAGCCACATGGACTGGACCTACTCTGATGCAACCAGGCCTCGAGTCAGAGAAGCCACGTAGAGACCTGTGCCAGCACTGAGATGATTACAACGCCACCGGATGCACAAGACTTCCAACCCACTAGCCTGTGATCCTCCTGCGTTCGGCATCATTGCATGTATTTCATGAGTCTGAAGAGGGCTTTATAGATTGGTATCGGATAGGGGCTAATATTGGACTTAGGGACTTAATCTGGACTGGGCTGGACGTTTTCTCAATATTCAATTGCTCTTGTATATAAAGCTCTTATATACATGTGTGTATGAATTTGTTTCTCTAGTCTACTGACACACATACCTACGATTATAGTCTTATGTTCAAGAGATGACCTAGAAATCATAAGGGGGTGGTTAGCTTAAAAAAAGTTCATGGAAATTATCTTTTAATTTCATTTTTCCATGAACTTTTTGAAGCCTTTAGTATACAGTCCAGCATTCTGGGAAGCTAGTTGTGTGGAACATATATAAAACTATAAAAGCTCCAAAGAAAAAAGCTTACCTAGCAAATTTTAAAGCCACTGACTGATAGCCTGATTTATACATCTCAGAATAGTACAGCATATAGTACTTGCCAAATATAACCAAGGAATACTTTTTCAAAGAATCACATTTTCTACAGACCACACAGAAAATATGACTCATTTTGTATAGTCTTCGGACTAAGAATTTTCTACTTTAAAGGGCTGGACATGTAAACAAAGGTTAATATGCCCAAAGGAGAGTTTGTATGTCATTTTGTATAGTCTTCGGACTAAGAATTTTCTACTTTAAAGGGCTGGACATGTAAACAAAGGTTAATATGCCCAAAGGAGAGTTTGTATGTAGCTGGCAAGGCCTAAAATATTACCTGGCCCTTAACATAAATGTGTTAATTCCTCATATATCTTGTATCCTAAAACAATTTCAATATGTTGCTATAGCCAAAATGACCTACTCGAAGAAAAATGTCTACCCAGATGGTAGGAAACGTCTAAAGATCTGAGGAAGTAATTGAGAGAGGAAAGAACAAGTGGCCAGTGATTGTTCACCAATATTAATAAAATGAATTGTTTGCTCAGGGCCAGAATTCTGATTTAAAATAGGCTCTTTAGAAATAAAGCAGTTTTATTGAAGCACCCTGAACCACAGAAGTACTCAGACCAGAGTGAAATCAAGTTCTCCAAAGAACAAGTGTCATTCAACAATAATCATTGCTACAATTCCAGTTCATACATGCACAGGTTTATTCTAGATGAAATGTTTTTAAACATGTATTTGTGATCAGTGTTCAACTGTCAACAAGTTCCCTCAGTAATATACTTAATCTCATTGGGTGCCTTGAAAAAAGATCCAATCAAAACAGGTGTTTTTGAGAGGAAGTACTGAGCCAATTAAATTGGCAGAAAGGTCAGCTCAGAAGGTTATAACTACTTTATTTTGGGATTCTTAAGGAGGCATCTTGATAAAATTGTTCAAAGGACACAGAAAGATCAAGGAGACTTATTAGGAAGTTGTCCCCACTCCTGAATTTGTCAGTTTTAATGGAAGTTGTGTTCCAGACTATTTTACTCTTGCATCTTCTCAAGTGATTCTTCCTTTTATTTGCCCTTTTCCTTTCTTAGTTGGCTAGATTTGCCTTTCCATTCCAGGATCTTTTTGTGGTCTTTGTCCAGTTTTAGCTAGTGATAACCACCTTGCTGGGATGAGTGCCCACATGGACAGTTGTGCCGTTAGCTTTATCCCACTGCACCTGTTCACTGTAGATGACATATTTCTTCCTGTAAACCTGGACCGCTTTGCCAATTTGCTGACCTTTGTAGTATCCTCGCTCAACCTGGTCTTCATTCATCATCCTTGCAGGTGGCCATGGACCAAAACACTGTATTCTGGTCTCAGTTCCATGGAATGAGGGGAAGACATAATCTTCCTGTGCATGTAGGAAGCTGCATTGAAATGCCTTTTACGATTTTTGCAAAATTACAAAGGGATTAAACTTCATTTTGGCCACTGCTCCTTTAGTGTTGGTCCCAAGAGGGAAAAGCGAAGTTTTTTTTAGAAAATGGGGCAGTTGCATTGATGAGAAAAGAACAAGGAAAGTTGTGCCATGGAAGTTTTTCCCTATCATGACAATAAACCGCTCAGGGGTTGGCAAACTACAGCTAAAAGCCATATGTAACTCTTTGGTACATATATGTGGTTCTGAAGGAAAATTGAAAATGAAAATAAAATGATCTTAGTTCATTAAAAAAAAAAAAAAAGAAATCGTTTGAAGGCAGGACTTAATGGGCTTCATATTCTAGCATTTGGTACAGCATCAACACATTACAGACTGTGTACTGGTTGCTCTGAACCTAGATCCTAAAATCCAAGGAAATCCTTTGCAATTGAAGGACCGAGTTAAATTTCAACGCTGCTTGAGCATCTAAAATTACAGGACACATCACAAAGCTGGCATAGCTGTGAAAATACTTGTATTTTAAAACATAGTCACAAAAAATTCCATATTTGGATAAAATAAATTAGGATGTCTTGGGTTATGTTTATCATTAGGCAGAACTAACCTTTGCTTTCCCATCAAATGACTCTTGACAAGCACAAAAGGAGTTTGGAGTTCATTCCATATTTACCTTTTATTTCTATCAGTGTTTTACAACTACAGTTTGCTTTTTATCCTGCACCTCCAAAAAACCTCTGTTAAAACCAAAATATGTTTTATATAAACTGTAGGGTTGGGAACTGTAAACTTCATTGGTGGTGGCTGTTGTTATGGAGCTGGCCCCAACTCATGGCAATCTCATGGGCAACAAAGTAACACAGAGCTTTCCTTGGCTGATTTTCAGAAATAGATTGGCCTTTCTTTTAGTCTGTCGAGGTCATGGAATATGTTCAATATCATAAAATGCCAGCCTCAACTGACAGATGACTGGTAGCTACACTTTTGCAGACGCAAACCCAAGTCTCACACAGAATGCCAATAATCCTATCACTGAACCACCAGTTTTCAATTTAGGATTTAGATAGTAAGTAACAGTATCATTTCAGTTATACATAAAATCAAAGTAAGTCATCATTGCTAAGCATTTACTTTGGAATTAAAACTGGTATTTTCACTCCCCACTGCCATCAAGCCAATTCAGACTCCTAGCAACCCTATATCGGGTTTCCAAGGCTGTAAATCATTAGGAGAGCTGATCACTTCAATCCTCTCCCTCATAGCAACTGGTGGGTTTGAACTGCTCACCTTGTGATTAACAGTTCAATGCTTAACGAACAGCACCACCAGGGCTCCTTCACAGCGATCTAGCAAAACTACACTGGAAGATATGAAAATGGAAGTCAGAAGAGACTTGCTCTGAAGCACAGAGTAACTAAATAAATGATAAAGTAAAAGAGCTGAATAGAAGATTTCAAAGGGCACCTGGAGAAGACAAAAGTATTACAATGAAATGTGTAACGACCTGGAGTTAGAAACCAAAAGGGATGAAAACAGTTGTCATTTCTCAAGCTGAAATAATTGAAAACTTCAATCACGTTGTAATACTGAAGGATTCTATGGGCAAAAAAATTGAATGACAGGAATCATCAAAAGATTAAATAATTACTGTACTAAAACCAAATCCATTGCCTGAGTTAATTCTGACCTCCAGCAACCCTATACAGGGTTCCCAAGGCTATAAATCTTTATAGGAGCATATAGCCTCAATTCTCTTTCATGGAACAGCTAGTGGGTTTGAACTGATCTGCAGTTAGCAGTCCAGTATTTAGCAGTCCAGCACTACCAATGCTACATATCAAAAAGGGTTCCCTCCTCTCCAAAAAACAAACTCACTGCCATCAAGCCAATTCCAACTCATAGCTACCCTATAGAACAGAGTAGGAATGCCATTGTGAGTTTCCGAGGCTTTAACAAAACTGTATGGGAGTAGAAAGCCTCATCTTTCTCCCAAGGTTTGAACCACTGACCTTATGGTTAGCAGCTCAACATATAACCCACTCCACCACTAGAGCTCCTTTGAATTAGTCAACATTAAACCATTTCAACAGGTAGCTCATGACTAATAGCCATTGACACTGAAGGAAGACGTTCAAGCTGTATATAATAAAAGAATAAGACATCATAATCTCACTGTGTGAACCCATTAACAGCTTCAAAATATGTGAAGCAAAACATGACAGATTTTGGTAGCAACTGTACAATACTGCTTAATGTGATTGAACTATGAATGGTATGTCTGGATTGGCTCCTAATTAAGTGGTTTGGTGAAAAAACCATGACAAAGCTGAAAGAAAAAATAGACAAATCCACAATTATAGAGACTTCAACACTCTTTTCTCAATCAGAACAGTTAGACAGAATTTTGGTAAGGCTAAGGGAGACTTGAACAATAAAAACGAACTCACATTTATACAATACTAATTTCAACAACAGAATACAAAATTTAATTAGGGTGCAGTTAAAATATGTGCAAAAACAAAAGTTTCATAAAATACAGTGATCACAATGGAATTAGAAATTAAAAAGATATCAGAAATATCCCCAAGTATTTGGAAAATTGCATAACATACATTCTAACTGGTCAAAGAAGAAAGTATTTGTAGATAAATGCTAATTAAAATACAAAATGTCAAAGTGTGTGGTACGCAGGTAAAGCAATGCTTGAGGGAAATGCATAGCTTTAAAAGACATATTAGGGAACAGGAAGATCTAAGTTTCCACTTTGAGAATTTTGGAAAAGAGCAAATTAACCCAAAACCAATACAGTGAAGGAAAACCTAAGAACAGAAATCAATGAAGTATAAAATGGAAAACCAACAAAAACAAAACACTAAAAGCTGTTTCTTTAAATAAACACAAAAGAAGACATCACTAACAATCTACAAACAATAAAATAATAGGATACTAAACATTTGAAATTATCCAACTTACCTCTTCAAAGGAATATTTTTCTACAGTGTGAAGAGCACCTTGCGTCTCATTCCATCCTCCAACAGAATACATACAGTCATTCAGTGCAGCTACCCCAAGATATGCTCTCCTGGCTCCCATTGGAGGAAGTGGAGACCAGCGCTTGGAAAGTGGATCATAAACTTCAAAAGAACGAAGCTCTATTCCTTCATTGCTGATACCTCCAACCACATAAATTAAACCTGGAGATGGTATAGTTTTCTTCAGATGTTATGTAAAATAGATATAAGTAATAAGTAGTACTTATGACCTCAATTTGCTATGATGATACAATATAGTACTTATAATTGAGTTTCCAGTCACTTCAATATCACAGTATATTAGGAATGGTAGCTACCTTTTGTTGATTGCTAAATGGTGAATAATGATGTGCTTTACTCCAATTAATAATAATAATTCACGATGCGATTTTATTATTTAAAGGTAAGAAAGGGGAAAAAAACATGCTCAGAGCCTTTAATTAACTTGCCCAGTTAGTTATTTGATTTGCATTCAAACCTGGATTTGCCTGGAACTAAAATTTTGGGTTGTTTGTATATGACTCACTTGAAAAACAACACACACATATTCAAGACTTGCTATTATTTAGTCTGCAAGCCATATATATATTTTTCCCCCTCTTCTGTATTGCAAGCCATATTTGATATACATGTAGTCATAATTTGTTTACATAAATTGTACAGCCTCTCAGGATGTGTCGCACAGATTGTTAGTGATTACACTCTTCCTTTCTACCTACACACTTTGAATGTTTGTTACCTTGTAGCTTTTGCTGTTGGTGGTCCTCTGCTCAGACTACCATCTGTCAAAAGCCTACCCTTTTAAGGCTCATGTTATCTAATCCAGGAAACTTTTCTTCATCTTTCCAATTAAATGTGATTTTCTAACCCAAGGTTGGTGTTCAAACTATCAGCTGCCCCACAGGAGAACGATGAGGCTGTCTGCTGTTTGCAAAGCCTCAGAAACACGGGCTCCCGAATTTATTTGGCCTACCACCACATTTTCAGAAAAACAAAATTAATAACACCCCATCCCCTTGCAATGAAAAACTTTTGTACTATAGTCTTTAATCCAGGATAAGTATTGGTAGGTAGCTGCTTTTGTAGCGGCCTGGATGGTTATAGCACCCCCTAGAGGGGCAATATTGCCTACTTTGGGAAAAACTGCTCAATGAGTTGGAATCAACTCAATGGCAGTGGGTTCAGTTTGGATTCATCCTAATATTTTTTTAGGATTTTAGAAATTAAAGTCTTAATTTCTACTTCCATTTATTTAATTTAAATGCATTGTGTTTTAAGCGAAAGCAAATTAGGTTCCCAATTAACAATATTTATTTATTAACAATTTTTATTTAAAGGAGTTAACCAAGTTCATGGAAAAATGTAATAAAAATAGACTTTTCCCATGAACCTTTGGAAGCCCCCTACTACGAATTGTTCCATGACAAAGGCTACCATTTTTACAATGTATCAGCATGGTCATTATTTCCATTCTATTTCCATTGATCTAGCTTCCTTTCCCTCTGTCTTCTCACCTTTGCTTTTGAGTAAAGGATGACCATTTGGGGTTATTTTGTTGTTGTTTTTAAAATTGGGATTTTATTTATTTTTTAATGTTTTATGGAGGGCTCTTACAGCTCTTATCACAACCTATACATACATCCATTGTGTCAAGCACATTTGTACATGTTTCCATCATGGTTTGCAAACATTTTCTTTCTCCTTAAGCCTTTGGTATCAGCTCATTTTCCCCCTCCCGAAGACCATTTGGTTTTAAAGAGTCCATTGTTTGAGGTAGCACATTACTCATGAATGATACTGTTAATTTGATAAGCCTAAAATCCTAATTTGGGCTGAAAGGTGACCTACAGAGATGACTTCAATTCCATATTAGAAAGTTATCTTAGGGTGAAAGTCTTGGCAGTGTCTCCAGTCTCTTCTGGTCTAGTAAATCTGGCATTTTTAGGGAATATGAGTTTTGGTCTGTATTTTTTTCCCATTTTGTATGGGATTGCCTATTCTGTCCATGGTCAGAATCACAGGTATTATTGCTAGCCACTGTCTAGTTCTTCTGTTCTCAGGTTTGAACAGGTTGACGTTTTTGTGGGCTAATAGTACCATAGATTGGTTTTTTTCTTGGATCCTTTTATTTCTTTTTTTTTCGTATTTATTTATTTTATTTTATTTTTTTACAACTTCTTCGTTTCTTTTTATTTTATTTTATTGGGGGATCTCACATTTCTTTTTTTTTTAAAACATTTTATTAGGGGCTCATACAACTGTTATCGCAATGCATACACACATCAATTGTGTAAAGCGCATTTGTACATCGTTTCTCAAAACATTTTCTCTCCAGTTAAACCCCTGACATTAGGTCCTCATTTTTCCCCTCCCTCCCCGCTCCCCCCTCCCTTATGAGCCCTTGATAGTTTATAAATCGGTATTTTGTCATATCTTGCCCTGTCAGACGTCTCCCTTCACCCACTTTTCGGTTGTCTGTCCCCCAGGGAGGAGGTCACATATAGTTCCTTGTAATTGGTTCCCTCTTTCCTACCCATTCTCCCTTTACCCTCCCTGTTTCGCCACTCACACCACTGGTCCTGTAGGGCCCATCTGCCCTGGATTCCCTGTATTTTCAGTTCCTATCTGTACCAGTGTACATCCTCTGGTCTAGCCAGACTTGCAAGGTCGAATTCGAGTCATGGTATTGGGAGCGGGGAGATCCTTTGATTTCTTGCATTCTTTTTTGCTCCATATGAATAAAGACCTATAGTTGTATCTTAGATGGCACGCATAAGCTTTTAAAACCTCAAACGTGGATGATAGAGCATTATTTTTGTGAACTACATTATGCCAATTGACTAAATTATCCTTTTGCACTATGATTCTAAAACCTTTAAGCTAAGAAACCAATCCCACTAGTTATTTGGATATGTCTAAGCCGCCTCCATAAGTATGCCCCTTATATGGTTTGTTCTATGTGGATATATATGCAGTATACACGAACATGTATGAAGGGGCTTCAAAAAGTTTGTGTAAAAATGGAATTAAAAGATAATAGAATTTAAATACCAATTTATAAACTATCAAGGGCTCATGAGGGGGTGGGGAGTGGGGAGGGAGGGGAAATATGAGGACCTAATGTCGGGGGTTTAAGTGGAGAGAAAATGTTTTGAGAATGATGTACAAATGCGCTTTACACAATTGATGTGTGTATGGATTGCGATAACAGTTGTATGAGCCCCTAATAAATGTTAAAATAAATAAATAAATAAAAGAAAGAAAAAAAAGAAAAAGAAACCACCGGACCCTTTATGGGAGGAAAAAAAAAAAGATAATAGAATTTTTCCATGAACTTTTTGAAACCTCTCATATATACATATACCTACAGACACACTTATACATGCATGTGCAAGTACTTGCATGACTTCCTATACATATATGTACATATATACATGCCTATGTAACCACATACATTTTTGTTATTACTAATGTTGCAAAATTACATGTATTATATAGCATTTACAAAATTTTTTTTCTTATCTATTTCTTTTTTTTTAATCATTTTATTAGGGGCTCATACAACTCTTATCACAATGCATACATACATCAATTGTGTAAAGCGCATTTGTATCTTATCTATTTCTTAGTGTCTTTATTTAGCTTAGTAAAGTCCAGAGTTCAGCCATTTATAATATTAAGAGAGAAAATCAACGTCTGCCTAGTTTTATATCTTACATGTAAGCATGCTACAAAGAATTCTTTCCTTTTCACTGTCATTGAGTTGATGCCAAGTTCTAGCAAACCTTTAGGACAGAGTAGAACTGCCCCTCTGGCTTTCTAAGACCATAAATTTTTTTTCCCACTTATACTCAGCCATCGAGTCAATGCTGACTTATAGTACCATCCAATAGGAAACAACAAAAAAAAAGGAAATGGATTCTCTTCCCTCCCCACTAAAAAAGTTGTGCACTTAAAGTGGGAATGACACGACTGTTTGATGAAAGCGTACCTGTTGCTCAGATGTAGATAACTGAACTTACCTAGAATGGTTATCTGAATCAATTATCAGAATCAATTACTACAGTAGAATAGAATGTAATTCCCAGAGTATTACTTGTTTTTATGATTTAAATCTAACCTACAATTAGTTCCTACAATTATCTACAGTTTTTAAATGTCTGGTGTTGTCTCCCATGTTCAAAAGTGAGGAGTCACAAAGTTATGTTAAAAAGAAACTTGGGAAAACAAAAAACAAAACCTTGGGCTAAATATTGGTAAACAAGGGTTCTAGTTCCAGCTTTACCAGGTACCTGCTATAAGAAAAAGACAACACACAACCTTCCCAGATCTGTAGCTTCCAGTCTATAAATGATGTAATTGAAAGAGACAGTCTCCCAGGTCCCTCCTCTATCTCTATGATTTTTACACTGGACGATCAAAATAATAAATATAAAACAACTAAAGCAGAAGGAACTTGAACTGAGCTGTCATATAACCATGGACATTGCGGCACAGTTTACAATTGCAAGGAACTGGAAACAACCCAAATTTTCATCAACATACAACTTTCCTCTAGTTCTTTAATGCTTCCTCCCCCCCACTATCATGACCCCAATTCTATCTTACAAATCTTGCTAGATCACAGCATGTATACGGGTTCAGATAAGAGCTGGAAACACAGGGAATCCAGGAAAGAGAAACCCCTCAGGACCAATATTGAGGGTAGCCATACCAGGAGGATAAGAGGGGAGAAAAGGGGAACCAATCATAATGATCTACATATAACCTCCTCCCAAGGGGATGGACAATAGGGTGTGGGTGAAGGGAGACATCGGTCAGTGTAAGGCAAGAAAAAATAATAATTTATAAATTATCAAGGGTTCATGAGGGGGGGGGAATGAGAAGGGCTGAAGTAGAAAGAAAATGTTTTCAAAATGATGATGGCAACAAATGTACAAATGAGTATAGGTTGTGATAAGAGTTGCATGAGCCCCCAATAAAATGATTTAAAAAAAAATCAAAAACATGGGATGACAGCTTTCTACTTTACATGCATATAAATCTGTTCTCCAACCCTGGCCTGAGAATCAGATTCTATTTACAGTACTGTACCTACTCTCAGGATGTAGGGCACAATTAAAATAATGTCTGAATTCCATTTTAATATACAGTACAAAATTTTAAAATTCATAGGATCAACTCTCTGTGGACATTGTAAAAAAACTGTAGAAGCCTTCAAGAAACAATCTGTTAAAATTATTTTTTATATTCTCACCCAATTAAGAAATACTAAGGCCTGAAATGGGAAGGAAAATGACAATGAACCTATAGGAACACCAAATAGAAGGGCTTAGGGGGACACAAGTGCTACAGTGTAGGGAAGTGGGGGTGGTAAAAGGGAGGCGATGTCAATGAATGAGTCCAGGAAAAAAAACAACGAATGTTTGGAAACTGTGGTAGCAATTACACAATTCTGCTTGATGTGACTGGACTAAGGAATAATATATTAGCTCCCAGTTAATAAAAAATTTTCAAAAAGAAATAAAGTTAATGATAAAGAGATAAAAAGCCTTTTTTACATTGCTAGTATCAATCATGCAATAATTACCTAAATTACACATTTATGAAAAGTCTCAAAGTCAAGGATTTAAAATTTTATTGAGTAAAAATATTTTTAAGTAATTACCTTGCATTTCACAGCACCCAAAGTAATAGCGTGACACAGCCATATTGCCAACGACTTCCCATTTATTTTCATCTGGATCAAATCTTTCAATGGTGTTCCCTATCTCAGCTCCAACCCATCCACCTGTAACCAAATAGAAAAGGTTTATTTCTGGAGTGAGAAAGCCTTATTTCTGAAAAAGAACTATAAAGCATCTAATCCAACCAACTCATATTACAAATATCACATAAACCAGACATTATTTGTCCAAGATTAACTGGAAAGTTAGAATGTGATCATAAGTAGAACTCAGGTATTTTAATTCCTTGATTATTGTTCAGCAGAGATTTAAAGAAAAGAAAAAGAAACATGTTTAGGGAACACAGTATTTCACAAAACTACCTTTTGAAACAACTTCTGCGTATTCAGATGGTTTCTTTCATCAAGACCAACTCTTAAATTTAGTCAGATTATACTATCTATTAATTGTGACTTGAGAGACTCCAAAACGAACCTTCAGATTAAAAACTAAAGGAAAAAGAGCCTCCATCCTCACAATATTCTCTTAACACAGTTCACTTCTTGAAATGGAAAATGTTCTTTCATACAATTAGAAGTAAAACTTTAATAAAAAGGAAAATACTTGTGGGAGTGTTAAAATATATACTAGATTCAATTCACATTGGGATGATTAATATCTTTTCTACAATAGGTTTGATATGGAAAAGACAGTGGGTTTCATACAATGAGTTGAAGAAGGAACGATAAAGAGAAAATCAGGGAGAATAGGAAAAACTCTGACTAACACTTATTATACAGCTAATCAAAGGTAAATAATTTGCTCAGGATCATTCACTAAATAATAAATTTTTAAAAGAACAATAATAAAATTTAAAAGGGAGACACCAAAGCAAACAAACCCCAAAAAGATCATATGCTAAATTGGCAATAATGAAAATAATGTATTTTCATTACAATACATACTTTAAAAATGGATTGTTTAACTCATCATAAACTTTTTTAGAGTCATTCAAATTTCTGTGTGCATCAAAAGCTTATCCAATATATTAAATTCAATAAATGCCTGTTTCTATGTATTATTTTTAAAAAAAAGAAAATAATGTAGTGCAGAAGTAATATAGTACAGACCTCATTTGGGGTGTTCTTAGGTTTTTGATAGGTGCTTTCTTACATGAGATATAATTAAGCCAGTATGCAAAGTAGTAGAAAAGTTACGTAATGAATGTAAATCAAGAGATTTAACTGGTCAGGTAAAGTGCCTCCCTGACAGTTCTTCACTGAATATCATGCATCTAAAAATGACACACTTGGCACTAATTCATTGAGAATAAGAACTTACAAAATTACAATGGTACAAGTTTCTTAAGAAATAAAAGAACATTTCTAAAGTGAACCGAATTTAAGCAGTATTCGACTTCCTTATAACGAACAGCATAATTACCCAAAGCATAGATAGCCCCATAACACACACACACTCCCAAACCACAGCGGGGTTGATTCAATGAAGCTACTGCTGTCCACTGTTTAGTAACTGGATCATAGCATTCCATACAGTCAAAAATCATTGAATCCTTTTCACCTGAATTTAAAAAAAAGAAACAAACATGAAATTTAGTAATGTTAAAAGGCTAGAATAGAATATTCAGTAGTGCTCCTGTTATCATAAATTTAACTATTTAGTCTAGTTTATTCTACCCATTAAAATTCTGTTGGCCAATGAGAAATACAACTTTCCTCTAATTCCTAAATGTTTCCTCCCCGCTCCCACTACCGTGACTCGAATTTGACCTTGCAAGCCTGGCTAGACCAGAGGATGTACACTGGTACAGATAGGAACTGAAAATACAGGGAATCCAGGGC